GGAACATGAAGTACACTGATATGACTACGGATAATATTTCACGATTCATCAAATCGATTAGAAAATATAGGAGACTAAAGTTTGAAAACGCAAGACACATTAATGACTAAATGAATATACAGTGATATAATGGAAAAACAGTTAAGTGACGTCTACGGTAGGCAAGAAGTGGGACTATCAGATAGATCGAATGTCATAGGAGGTGTGGAATTTGTTAATAAAAGAAATAACCTCTGTATAACAGGAATGAAACATGTATACAAACAAACAAATTAGAATAACTGTTGAAGATTCAATCTCAGTGGTTGGCTGTTTTGTCCTACTTTGTAACTTCTCAGCATTGCGCATCCGGGTTCATCAAGTCCCATGGTGATAATGTTATCATTCAACCCCTGGGTCGAATTCCAGTGACTGACTTTTTCCTGCTTCTGTCATCTTATGATATAGTGCGAGAATATCTCCTCGCACCTGACTAGGCTAGCCCTACAAACCATCAATTTCGAAACAAATGTTTTTATCTATCTCAACTTATATATAAATGCAACCGTACATCTGTGAAAAAGAAATCGGTGCAAAGAGAATTTTCTTCCCTTAAATCTTTGTTAATTGATTATTTTAGTAGTAGTTAACAAGGCAAATTATACTAAGTGATTTCTGAAACCTCAGCAGCTGGAAGTAGTGTGGAACTGTGCCGCATCTACTAAAAATCAAGGTCCTGAGATGATCACTTACTTGACCATGTTACATTGCGTCATCTTGAAACATTGCATCAAAGTCATTTAGTTTTCATCTGATAGAATATCCAGTTGTCTGTGGTTTTACCAGATTCTCATTGCATGCCAATAAAATTTCTTAGTCTTGTTGCAAATAAATTTCAAAGCAGCTTTTATCCTAGAGTTAATTCAGTCTATGAAATATTAATAACTTGTTAAAGAAATGAACAACAAATATTGTGGGATGAATCGAATTCATTACGTGTGCTCTAAGTCTTTCACATACGTACTAAGTTTAAAATTGTGTACAGTAAGTTATCTGTGTTCAGCATAAGTCATTTGATATATCTCAGTAGTAAACAACATCAAATCAGGCTTTAAAATCGATCAGTAAACACAAAGTAAAATTCGACGTGATAGTAGTACAGGAATGTGATTACAGCTCAAGGTGGTAGGAATTTTAGTGGAAGGGGAAGAACAACAAAGATGGCATACAAATTATATGAGTTATTGGTAGACGAATGGAAAAGGATGTGCTAACAAATATGATAAAAATATAATGGGTTAAAGTAAATCGAAGGTGATGGTAATATGAATAATCTTCGATAATATGTAAGACAATAAATAAGATAGAAGGACAAAATAGTAAATAAAGCTGTAGGAAGGGGATAACTCACCAAGACAATGCAAAGTGAACCACAAACTCCTTTAATACCCACAAGTCTGGTTTCAGTCGACGGATTGCTGCTACCTCTGCATAACGTAGCAACCTACTATTTCTTTGTCCACCACTTACCTTGAAAGCTGTGTTGGAGTTGTTGGCATGACCTGTATCGAGAATGTGCTTACCAATGGCACTGCTTGGTGGTAGCTTTACAACTCTCAATAGCAGGGTTTTCGGTACATGTTCAGAGATTCATTTAGTAAGGATCCTTTCCGTTCTTCCGACATACATGCTACTGAAAGTGCAGGTGAATAAATAAATACAATTGGAAGTAACATGAGGAGGTCTCACATCTAACTTCGTTTCTCTGTTCTTTGTGTCATAGATAACTGTTAATTTCGTAGGTGGATAAGTTAGTGCGATTCATGCATTCGGTCAGCGATTATTTTGTGTACCCAATTCATCGCTTTTGAATGAACGTATTGATGATTTGTGTTTACTGATCGATTTTAAAGCCTGATTTATTCATCTATGTTCCCACATATATGTATTAATTTGTACGTTTAAAAGATGTATTTGATGTTGTTTACTACTGAGATATATCAAATGACTTATGCTGAACACAGATAACTTACTGTACACAATTTTAAACTTAGTACGTATGTGAAAGACTTAGAGCACACGTAATGAATTCGATTCATCCTACAGTATTTGTTGTTTTCACTTTGTAAAAAAGTGCTGAACAACTGCTTAGCCGTAGCTTTGAACTTTTCACCAGTGCACATCCATAACTTTGTGAGGAATCAAACCCGAAAAGAAAATTCATAAATAACCTTATTCATTTAAAAAAAAATGTTTATTCACCTAAGATAGATTTGTCAAAATGTTTTATAAAGTTCACTTTCTTTGTAGTTGATGAAAGTCAAAATCACTTTTTATGTATGCGTATAATTTCGGTATACAGACCCAATTATTTTTCATTTTCTATCTTAAAAGGAATTTTCACCTAGAAAATACTTATGCAGTTTTTGATTTTCACACTCCAACTGACTTTTTCAACTGATCACTCACGAAGCTGGGTTTTTCATAATATGCACAGCATTACATATATTATTATGGTTGTATTCCCCACATTTTAGCATATATTAGTAACCAGTATGTTGGCTAAAATGCATTCTGTACTGCTGCTTTACTAAGCTATCCTTGGAATGTTTGACGATATAGCTCTTTTTTTATCCACTTCTTCCTTGTGTACTTGTGTGAAGTGTGGCAACTTGAGCCGATGCACCTGTATGCAATGTTCTGCTTTGATTTTGTCAGCCAGTCAATCAGAATGTCTGATTCAACCATTTACATGATAATGGTATTCTAGACCTTTAGTTATTCAATTAAACCATGTAAAAATTGAGAAACCTGTAAGAGCAAGTGAATAAAAACTGTAATTTTCATCAGACTGATATCAACTAGACAAGCAAATTGTAAGATTGACTATTTATCTATCGGAAACCACTTGATTTAGTTGTAACATGGTGTTCATTGGCGCGAGCACACTGAGGGAGTGGCTATCATGATATCCCCAACAGCATCGAATGCTCTTATGCAGTGAGAATCAATCTCCTCCAGGATCATGATAGCAAGATTCAACTGGAGAGGAAGGAAAGTCACAATCACACAATGCTACGCTACGCACCTACAAATAATGCAGATCAAGAGAAAAAGGGGGTATTCTACAGACAACTGCAATCACCAATGGACAAGACCATATCCCAGTTGGCGATGGTGACATCGAAATTCTGTTGGGTGGGGTGACATTAATGCCAGCCAAACTGGGTGCAAACAACACAGGAAGAGAATCAATCATGGGTGGAGAAGCACTGGGTGAAATGAATGAGAATAGAGAACAGTATGCAGATTTCTGTACATTCAACGATTTGGTGATTGAAAGTAGTGTGTACGAACACAAGGATATTCACAAAGCAGCGATAGGAATTAGTTTTCACCAGATGGACACACTAAAATCAGATCGACTTCATCTGAATGTGCAAAAAGGGGAGACGCAGCATATTGGACACAAGATCAAGATGGGGAGCAGATGTAGGTTCAGACCACTCACTATCTAGTGCAAGGAACCTTCAAAATCAAGTTGAAAGCCTTGAAAAAAGTTTATGATAGACAGGCCATAGTTCAAGCTCAACACTCAGAACAGAAACTGAACTGAACTGCCAGCGAACACAAACCCTCCGACAGAAGTAGAAGTGAAGTCCGATACCTCATAAAGTTACTGAAATCCGAGAAAGCAGGAGTACCAGATGGAATTTCACCAGCAGCACAGAAAACAGATGCAGAGACAACAGGGGACACGCTCACACCACTACTGCAGAAGATGTGGAGGAAGGAAAGGTACCCGCTGAGTGGAATTAGGGCTACCTTGCCAAACTCCCAAAGAAGAACGACCCAAGTATCTGTTTGAACTGGTGTGGAATCATGCTCGTGTCCTTGTCCACCCAAAGCAAGAAATTGTACAGCGTCATCCTGGAGAGATTGGAAGGCTTGCTAGATTGAAAATTACAACCTGAACAGGCTGACTGGTTGACTGTCTTCAGGAAGAAGAAATCATGTGGGAACCAAATCGCTACTCTACACTACACTTCATCATAGAATGGAGTATAGAATGGCAGTCAACTCAACATCAATATCAACTTCATCGATTTTGAAAAGGCCTTGGACAGCGTCGACAGAGAAGTAATTTGGCAGGCAGCTGCTTCAACACTACAGTTTTAGTACCACAAACCTTTATCAATCTCATTCAACAACTATATTCTGTGTGAGATGATACATGCCGATTGATTCACAATGGGAAGTTCAGTGATGCGTTCGAATTGAAGACAGGGGACAGGAGTAAGACAAGACTGCCACCACCGATGATCTTCCTGATTGTGGTCTACTGGACCGGACTGGATGATGCAACAGACAAGTGTGAGGAGTGAGAAGATGGGATACGCTGGGTGTACCGATGAGAAGACCCCAGAAGAAGATTTGGATTTGGCCGGCGATGATGATTTATGTCTGATGTCTTGTCGCACAAACTCGAAGATGTAGAGGCGGAAACCAAGAAGTTGGCAGAAGATACGAGGCAGGACAGCGAGGACGTGACTTCTTTTCAGGTGAACGTGGAGGAGACAGAGGTGATGAAGATACCCACTTAATGGAAAACAGCATGAACGACAAGCACCAATCACCATGAACGGGAGAAGCCTAAAGGGAGTAGTCTCTTTCACTTTCCTTTCTACCTAGACAGCATCGTTTCAACTACAGGAGGCGTTGGTGGCGTCACAGATGAGGATGTCAAAACCAGGATCTGGTGGTATCATAAGCTCTAACACCAGCGCGACTCATAGCCGAAAACGTAATCCTATAGCTTATTGAACTAGGTTGATTTTTTGATCATTCAGTTAGCTTAGCACAGCAATTCTTCTCTTTGTTTATTTATTTAAAACTGCAGCCTCATCTGGTCGACCATGGTCATATGTTATAAATATATTGAATAATGAAGCCAGTGATTCTGAGCTTTTGATATATGCTATGACTTTGTTGAACAAGACATTAATTCAATCCCAGATCAGGATACATTTTATGATGTAACAGATTGTTTGGAGGAAATGGGAATGCAAAAGATTGTTCAATGTCATTTAGCCAGGAAAAACTGTGATGCTGAATTAGCCGAACAATTAAATCTTTATGAAGTAAGTATTTTTCTACTCTTCATATCTTTTTTCCTTGTGATTTCATAATCTCTGTAGGAAAGTATTGCACTGTAAAAGTTGAGATATTGTTTGATTGACTGTAGGTGATATGCACGCTTGTCGGCAAAAGATATATTTGCTACCTCGGCGTAGGTGTTGCTTACTTCACTCGTCACTGACATGAAGCAGCCGTATTCACTCTGCAATTTTAACGTTCAAAATTACTTGTGATTAGTTCTTATTGAATCCCTGAATAGGTATTCATTTTTCAAGGTCACAGATTTCCCTCACCAGTTAGTACTATCGAGCATAAACTATAGTTTCACAGTTTTCCAATGACTACCTCAACGAATAGAAAAACGAAATCAGTACATGGTTATTTCGAACCGATTTACTCAACAACCATATTAGAAACGTGTTAAATGGGATTCAGTGATAACGAATCGCGTGAAATTGACTGTAACCATGGAAGGTAGATACAGTGGTTCGCTTTGTTTCACAACCGTATGTTAAAAAGAAATGTAACAAAGTCAGCTTTCTTGAAGCAACGAAGTCAATTTCTGGACACCATACAAGTGTTTTTAGAATCTGTCTACCATGGAATAGTCACAACAAAGTTTCTCGAAGAAACTCATCAGAGAGATGTATTGCATAGAAGTATCCAAAAGAACTCTGTCTATGCAGGGACTTATTTCTAGAGGTTCCTCTTCTCGGGGATTATTTTAATCGCAGAAGGGCCTGGTGAAAGCATATCTGAAGGTTTTTCCTGCAGATATTACATCACAATGCAGTGCATCAAAGTTTTTTCTCACTTTGTTTGTTGAGATTATTAAAAAGTATGTTGGTAGACTCACTATATAGAACTGGAAAGCTCTAATGGCTACCATCATGTGACGGGTTAATGTACATAATTCACTCTTACATCTGTTCAGTCTTGATTAATACAGCTTGATGAACCCAGTGATTAAACATCAAATCGTCGATAACTCATGAGTTTCCTCTGAACTACAGATGCACCTTGTTGGTAAATGTCAATCAAACCGCAGATCCTAAGTCAATTGACTGACCGTTATTTTCAGATTATTTATTTTCTCATGCAACTTTGTCTACTTTGGAATCACTTTTTCTATCCACCTGTTCTTTGTATACTACTGTGAGGTGTGGTAACTTGAGCCGATTCATCAATGTGCTAGTGTCTAAGTTGATTTTGTCAGTCAGTCAGTTACTACTTAAGTTTATTTGGAGCTGCAGCTCGTTGATCTAAGCACTCGACTTCCAACCAGTGGGCCACGCGTCTGGATCTGGCTCTAAATACTAAGGTTTTGGAGACTCGTTAGCATAATTAGCCCTCACACAATAGTTTTGGCTCCTAGGCTGGTGTGGGAACGTGTATTTCGTTGCTGAGTGCAACTCTATTTTTGCAGCATGGCATTATGCCGAAGATTTTTTATTTCCGTCGTCCCTTGATTATTTTACACTAATATGCTTTTCTATTCTATTTAGGATTAGTCTGTATGCATCCTTGGTTTTGAGTTGTCCGTTGCGTAATAAGTGTCTGTATGAGTTTTGTTCAGACTTGAATGCCGAAATTGTCTATCTACTTTATTATTTTATGTACTCAGTGTCTTCCCTATGGTACGAATGTATCACTATCATTTGTGTAAGTTTCAGACTCGTCATTTATGTCTGAGAAGGACTGGCTTTCCTTGGAAATATGAAATTCTGTATTCAAAATTAGGTCTTGGTGAGGATGTTTTGGGAAAAATATTTCTAATCTTATCTAAACTTCATCTTGCCATTATAATCTCAACTTATTCCGATTTATTTTAATTAAAAGTTCCTATAGGGTTTTGTTTATGCTTTCATGTATGTCTGCATCTCTGCCCCTATATTACTTAAGCTATCAGGATATTTCATTATCTGCTTCACTCCTCTTTCTGTAGGCAAGTCTACGTTATGAGGATGGTGAGGATTTCGATGAATTGCCTCTGCCAGCTAGTGGTCGAGATAGTTTGCGTCAAGGCAGGAGAATGAGCCGAGTACAGTATCTCAAGACGCCAGAAGGTGAAGCATTATTGTCCTCTATGCATGTACTACCCACTAGTCAATCAATGGCAAGTGATATGGATGGAATGCTTGGTCGTAAATCGAAGCGTTATCAATCAGTAGAAAATCTTCAGCATAGTGGAATACCAAAAAAATTATCTCATGCAAGGTCAGTCTTTGATTCACTCAATTTTCCAGCTACGTATCCCATGCAAGGTTTCACTAGAAACTTCATAGCAGTCCATACTTCTTTTTACCAGAGCAGAGCTGAAACATTTGAATCAAGTGCAGCTGTGACTTACTTGTTCAGGCACATCACTTTCAACCTGGGAGCCTCAGGTTCGACCACGATGAGCGTCCTCAGCTCTCACACATACAGTGTGAATCACAAACATGTGAATAGCCCTATGGCAGGTCTCTGAATTGACAGACTTGAATTAAGGTCAGGTTCGCGTTGATAGTGATCAAACGATCTCATCTTGGGCATCACTACTGCATTATTCCGTACAAACTATTGACCGAGACACTTATTACTAGTTAACGAAAGACATATATACTTTCTTAGTAGATAGATCGACATAATAGTGTTTTGGGGAGGTGTGTCAAGTGGAACTCATACAATTTTGTGTAAGGCTCCATGTTACTTATTTAATTGTTTGTGCCCAGTTCTTTTTCATTTGTAGGTCATTAGCCACTGTCGCTCCTATCACTAGTTTTTCTGCTCCCTTTGTTTATTTCCTCATCTCTTCGTAGCAGACATACGTTCTCATTCATCGAATGCGTATAAAAACGTAACCTTGAATCTACTGAGCAAATATTTTGAGTTTGATTATTACCGCTTATTATAAGTGTTACATGTCTACCACGATAATCAATATTATTGCAACAAAGTAATTTGACAGAATAACTTTCCAATGCTTTGAGGTTGTCAGTGGTTCTCCAACCCAGGATGAAAACTAACATAGAATCAATGTATCCACACAATCTTCCTCCATTTCAACTGAATTTTGTTCAAGTCAACAGTTTGTATTTTCACGTGAATCGAGATGAGTTATTCCAGTTTGAACTAGAGTGAATTGTGAAACGTTTTAAGGGAAGTGCGGCTAGTTTAATGTATTGCTAAGTAAAATGAGTATTTTCTGAGTAAACTATTGCGCCATGTTCTTAATATTTTGAAGCTTTCCAACTGTACTATTAGTGTACTAATTAAGCATTGTTTGTGACAAATGTGTACTCATCTCTCCTAATTCACTATTAAAAACACACGCTGAGAAATAAAATGAGGACAAGTAAGCAATTAACTTATAATTACTAATATCGATCGGTGAATTAATTTTGACTCAGTTGTATTTTTCAAAAATGATTGAAACGAAGATAACATTTCAGTAGTAACTGGCAATTTAAGAAGTTGAGTGTAAAATTTAGATTGTGCAAGATTCTCTATCTAAGCGTACACGGGATTCTCAGTTTCAAACATTGCCAGTCGGCTGGTTCACCTAACTGTTGGCAAGAAGAACGCGGAAGTTGAGCAGAAATATCTTCCAAAGATCACTATGACATATCGTATTCGATCTAGTGTGCGATAATGCTGTCGCTTGGATTGCTGGCTGTGAAACTCTGTTTTAGTATGAGATGGACAGTTGAAACACTGCTCAGTAGGGTGCTAACCTCTGGCTCGTAGTGTTTAAATTGTTTAGAGTTCAGATTACTATCGGTAATGCTGTTACTAAGCTTCAACACATAAAACTTAACAGTTGGAAAGCACTTTTATTCTCAGTAGCTGGCTTGAATGGAACATTATGCCGTAAATTAACTTAAGAAATTTTACTGACCAAAGCAAAGATACCATCAGTTGGTTAGTTTGTAAAGCACCGATACTTTCTGTGGGAAAGAATTGTGATCTAGAGCAAAGAACTCCTAAACCGTTAACCTTGTAGATACCTGTTGCTAATAACTATCAGAGGCTTTCGGATGAATACAGTGTCTTCATTCTAATCAATAACCTTTGACAGTAAAAAGTTTTTAAGTCATGATAATTGTACGCATGTCATTTCCTTCATATTTTGGTACTACTGCCATAGCATTTCCTATTTTTTTTTCCTATGCAAGATATCATACAGACTTGTACATTAATATATTCGGGAAACATAGTTTAAGCAAACACGTATTCATGGTAATTTCTCATCACGCCTCACAATTATAGTTTGGAATTATTCAACATGGACGTCTGATACCATTGTGGTTTGTACATTAATCAGGGCGTAGCAATAAATGTTGATAACACTTATAAAATCAAGCAAGATTTCGCATAATTTCAGCAGTCAATCATTGTGGATGTATCAATGGGCTGCACGTGTGTACGGATATGGGCGGGGTGCGGAGGTGGCAATAAATTATTGTTGTGAAACAATTGCTTAATGGAATAAATTACTAAATCAAGGTTCAAATGTAAAACTGAAATGGAGTATAACTATGATGAATTTGATAAAGTACAAACAACGATACTATTTTAGTCTATCCGGTTTAATAAGTAAGGAAATTATTGTAATTACACCTGTCTAAGTTGAGGCTCATGTGAGGAAAAGAGGCTGAAAAAACGAATGACTTTACAAGCCAACATAGCAACTGTTGAGAAAACTGTTGAAAAACTACCTCCTCATCCGAAATACCGAAACCTGATTGATCATCCCATTCCTTGCTCTGATGACCTTCAAAGTCACTCAAAAAGAGTGGCTTTAAAGACCGCCCTAACAACTACTAAATCAACCAATTAGAGTCCTATATTTAACGAAAACCTGGCTTTCAGTGGAAATAAAAAAACCCAACTGGTTATCTCAGTTGCTGCTAGGGTGGTCTTTGAAGTCGCTCCGAGGAAACATCTGTATACACACAATGTTTTAGAATTTTAATTACTGAGGTATCTGCTATGCTTAGTAATTAAAGGTGTACAAGCTTAAAGTACTATGATGGTAAGCGACATCGTAAGGCGAAGGTTAATTTTTATCATTTATGTGCTCAGCATCCACTAGATGGGTGAGTATTGGGCCTTTGATGGATTTCACTGTTCCTTCGCGTAACCGTGCTGGATAATGTTCAATGAAGCGATGATGGGCTTGAATGACCGTTCTTCTTATTTAACTATCATTAAAGGAGCAGTTAAATTTGCAAGTGCAGATAGATGTGGCCAAACCTGATAGCCTATCCTCCAACTTCATTTCTGTGATTCAGCTGGTGGTAAATTTCCAAAGTAATGTTGCAGCAAGAAAAATTTTTTCGAGTTTCCCTAGTTTCAGTGCTTCTGAAGACGAATCGCTTTTGAACGCTAAAATCAGGCATAACTTTTTCTTTGATTTCAACTGAAGGCGAATTCTCATAGATGTGTTCATCATAGCAGCCCTTCAAAACTTCTGAGCATCACCGTTGTCATATAAAGAGTTCTCTACCACTCTTATTTCATTGTCGAAAGTGTCGGATGTGCAAATCTTTCTTGTTCGAGATGTTTAGATAGCCTCTCATATGACTTTATCGTAGTTACTATCACCGTTATTGTCATCCTCTAATTCAGGTATTCGAGCTCAAATTATGTTAACCAGAACGCTAGCCAATGCCTATGTTAACTAGTTTCTAAACTGAATTGTAATCTAAAGATCCACATAGATTATTCAGAACAAGAATAATTTGAGCGAACAATTGTTTTCAATAACTTCTTCTTCAGACTCTACACATTCATGACCCAATAAATGTATATAAATGAATCATCACTTGTTGATTTTGTCTCCTCATTTCGTAACTGTACTGTCAATATTGATTTCATTGCACAACCAACACACTAGACTGACAACAGTTCCACCATTCCATTCGATTTGATCTCCATTCACCCATAACACTGACGGTTTTAATATGGTAAAATTGTACATCATGCCTTATTTCGGCTATTGTATTCCACTTATTTTCATGAATTTATAACTGTAGAGCCTGAAGAAGAAGTTATTGAAGTTACTATTCACTCAAATTATTTTTGTTCCGATTAATTGTAATCCTTAACAAGAAATTACCTTGAATGCGTATTTACTTAAACTGTCACAATGGGAATATTTCAACTTTCGAATACTTGCCAGTAATCTTTCATTATATGGAATTCAGTAGATCAAATTACAGAAGTCCAGTGTAAACCCTGGTTTGCGATGAAAAGATACTTTGTAGTAAATACCTAATCATCTGCTATATGACTTAAGTTATCCTGGGTTAAACAGGCTAGTTGATCGGAAAACTAGTCATTTTGGGAAGCTAATGATCAGATATCATGCTGTCAGATGATCAGTAATCAACCAACAAGGTGAATGTGAAATCCTTTTCGTCTTTTATTGTATATCAAAGGTGTTTTTACCATAAAATTATTTGTTTATTCTCCATTCCTGCCTCTTTGTGTTTATTTGCTGTTTTTTTATTCTACCGATACTGCTAACTGGTTGTGGTTGCTGGGACTAATGAATTGTTGCATGGTGTTCTATGGATGACAAAAAGCACAATGGTCGGTTTGTAAATTATTAGTAAACAACACACTCAGCCTCGACATTTCTCACAACTAAGTAGTTTATTAACAGTTCACCTGGGCCCCTTTTAGGATCTTTCAAGTAAAATTTCATGAACCAACGAAGTATACTACCGAATAACAGAGGTAGTTAGAAACGACTAATTCTAATCTCAGAATTTTGCTAGCCAGACCAAAGTGATTTGGACAATGAACAGGTGTTCCACTTATTCATAGATGATGCCAATACCGGTGTTTACAAACTAATTCTGCCTACATTATACATTGATGTATTCTACTTCATCATGATTCTACTTCATTTTGTCACCAACAATCTGTGGGTTGAATGTTTGTCTGTCTGTATGGATACTTTATGCTTTCTTCAAAATTGTGGCAAACCGATAACTCTATTTTCTGATGTCATTTTTGACAAATAACAGGTTTGTTGTTATTGTGACAGTTACTTCGAAATAAATATGTCTTGATAACCAATAATAATATTGTTTTACTTAAATTTTCCCTCAAGCTTCCATCCATCTACAAAACATAATGAACAGAAAGCAGTTGGCTCTTTCTTATCAAAGGAAAATAAGCACGATGACAACAGGCGAAAGTCTGAAATGAATGGTCGTAAGTAAAAAAGAAAATTATAGGCTTGAGTAGATTTCTGTTTTGTTATTACACTTTGTAATCTATTTTAAAGGTATAGTTCTGTGACGTACACATTTCTGAGCATGATGCCTTCATGGTGCATCTTTTTTTCAATATGAACCATTCACATTACTACATTACTACAGGCATAGTTGTGAGGCGATAAATGATGCATTCTGTTGACTTACGACACTGAATAAAGTACACATTCGTCATTTATTTCTTAGAGCTGATATTTTTGCATTGGACAAAAATAAATACATGGATTTTGAGATAAGTTAGTTTTGGAGATGACAAATTTAGACATTTTCTGTGCTTATTTGATGACTTACAATAAAAATATAAGGATAGGGACCTTAAATAGTTAACAGTCGATAGACAGTAAACCCTATTCAACCTAGGTGTCGTTATTGTTAGTCTCCATCATTAAGGTGTATCTGCAACTATGGAGAAAATGGTGTTTTCTCGCTGACTCAAGCCTGTCCCACTCACACTGAAGTCAGAAAACTCACCACCAAGATATTCTGGCCATGAATTATCCTATGTAGGACATCAAGTTCCAGTATCTAAATGCTGGTTTATGATGCAGTCTGACTAAGCCGAACCAAATACATCATAAAAATCCATTCAGTGTTAGTTTATGCACAGTAATAATTCTCTAACATTACAAACATGGTTGATTTTACAACCCACTCAATTCAGAGTTCGAGTTCAGCATGAATGAATTCTTTCTTTCCCCTTAAATAAATACAACTATGAGTAACCTAATTATTTTGACCTAAGGTTTGCTTTCGACTGAGTCGTAACATTTTACACCAAAAACCACTGTCAAAGCCCTAAACCCAGCGGCAAAATTGCAAACCTGGTTGAAGATGTAGTAATGAACTTTTAGCAATAATTTTCTGACTTAATTCCTCATACACATATTGCGCTCTGGAAAACAGGTCAGTATCACAGTATAGTAAAAAGACTTCATTCAGTGGTATGCAATTCACAGCTACACCAGTCGTCATTGGATGATCAGTTGCGTATATATATATATATATATATATATATATATATATATATATATATATATATATATATATATATATATATATATCAATTGTAAGGTTACTGTCGATTATTGCTCCCATCATCATCATTTAACACATGAAGTCTAAGTGTTACTTTGAAAGGGAAGTGAACTGTCGACCAATTTCGCACATGCAACATAGATATTTAACCACTTATTCAGCTCTAAATAACGTTCTTAAATCTGTGGAGTAGATTGTACACAGCTTACCTATTTGACTAAGAGAGTGGCTGGTTTTCCATAATGCTCTGTACCACTAACCGGATCAATTCATTTTGTTTTTCAAAATCATTACTTGTGAGTAAATTTATCCGAAACCGAGAACAAAGAATTATCAATATGAATGAATGTGATCAAAATTTAATGGTAACTTATCTGAAACATTTTTACAATATGCTGTCTTTCTGTCTATAGTTCAGTGTGTGAATTTTTACAAAGTAAAAAGGAATGCCACTTTAGTTACTGTTTTTTCAAGCATATACATGAAAGATAATAGAACATGTAGAAACTTGCTAACACAATAATAGCTCATTCATTGATTTACTCTTGCAATCAAATCATATACGGGATAAAATGTTAAGAATTCAGTATTTTCCTTCATAGTGTAGGTTTTAAACTTTTTATTGAGTAGCCTTGACTCCATAGTCTGTTAGTCGTCACCAAGCAATGGGTCAAAAAGTAGCTTAACTCAATGAGTATAGAACAGGCGCTTAGTATCGCTCACCTGCACACCACATAAGTAACTCATAGCCTGGTGTGAAAACCATGACTACATGAATGATAGACTAATTGTTCATAAACAGTAGTAGCGGGAATCCTCCTATAGTAGTGCTGCTTTGGGATTTTCTACATTAAAAATTTAAAAAAGATAGTTGAACACTGAGTAATCTGGAGGAAAATACGAAGACGTAGATGGTAAAGAATATCTTCACTATTTAAACCAGAGTACACTGTTAATTATTGCGCATCATCCATGTTAGCTGTCTTTTCTTTATAATGACTACTGTCATCTCAAAGAATACACGCGAACCTGCCAATAACAAACTCCAAATAACATTATAATTTTCGCATACAATGATGAGTATTTATTAGAAATTATTTTTCCTGATACATTGACTCATTCCATGAAGATTCTTCATCAGTGTAAATACCTCCATATTTTCTCATTTGGCTTACAGTGATTCAGTTACTAACTGAGTGCTGAAGTGTCATATCCTAAGTTTACTTTCATTTGGTTTGTCTTATAGACTTCTGGATCAGAACTTGACCTGATACAGTTGAATAAGTTGAGCATTGGATAAATGGATTATAAATGAAATATATTTGTAAAATCCTAATAAGGTAGAAAAAATAAATTTCTGGCGTTTCACGTCTTCGTGAAAATCGCTTCTTCAGAGAATAAAACCTGTACAAGTTATGGCGTGTAGAGATAATAATTTCAACAAATCATATCACGTTGCTCATACATGATAACAATAATAAGAGGATAATATGGATTATGTTACACTAATCTTACCCTTTATCAATGAACAGTAACATTGGACTTCATCATTGCTGCGTAACGATTGAAGTCGCCACACGTCACAGAAGCACATCGAAATGAAAGATAAATGAATAGGAAAACAAAATGGAATCAAAAATCATAGAAAGTCATAATAAAGAGAGAAAAGTGAAGGCAAATGAATAAAGGAATCTGACAGACCTATTAGGTTGCATCTACACCACTGTGATCGATTGTAACCTATATCACCCAGAGTCATTGTGTCGACCCCAATCTGGAAGTCCATGTTTCCCTGCACAGCCCAGATCACGTCTTACCGACGCCGTCTATCATCGTTTCCCAGCTTAAAAATACTTTTTGGGAAACGGTGTGTCGAGCTGGACAGCCATTAGCCATGCTTCGCATTTTTTTCACCAAAGTAAGCCGATAAAGTCTGCAAACCTACAAAACTGAATTACCTCTTTTACTTAGAATTCTGCATCTAATTTCTGCGTTTCTAAAGCTGCAGTTCCCCGACACACATCAAACCTTCAGATATCCTCCACCATTAAAGACCATATTTCGTTGCCATAATGTAGGACAGAGGGAGCTTCTGCGTGGTACACTTGACTTTTAGTGGGTAGTCGAACATCTCGTCAGCTCCAGAAGTTATGTAAGCTCGCAAAAGTTAGTCAAGCCTTTCGTATCCATGCCGAGATTTCGGCGGTCACTAACTCTTCAGAGCTGGTTGGACTTCTCAAGTAACTTCACCGGTCTTACTATAGTTAACACTATACATTTTGACAAGTGGTTCACAATTGTACCAGTTCATCTTTGAAACGAATTCTTAATATAATAGTTCTGGTTTTGTTGCTATTTTCCAAACATTTTATTTGACAAGTAGATTCATCATTTGCTACAAACTTTTGAACAATTAAATTTATGCCAAAATACTTCATAATTGCATAACATTTCATTTTGAGTTGTTTACCTCGGTATTTGCATGTCTCAAAGTTATTTAGTGTTAATTTGGTTTCTATTTGCCAGTCTTGTTCAAGTAAACCTGGCTAGCATGCATGAAAGCTTGTCAGACGAGTAATGCCTGAGATCTGCACTGTTGCATGAATAGTACATATAATAATTGTACATACCTTGAAATGTTTTTTGGTTTTTTTGTCACTAATTTGCATTTTGACGGTGTGTAGCGCAGTGAAAACAATAACATCAACAACAAGCGGAATGCAACGTGATACCTCTTAGTTCTTTTTTTTTACCCTAATCATTATTATTATTATTACTGTTGTTTCCGTGTACTTGAATATGAACTATCACGACAAAAATACACCGCACTTCAATCTTATTTAGTTCACTATTCATTGCCTGCTTCCAACAGATATTAATGAGTGTGATGATAATAGTCAATTAAATCACGAGCATCCCGGCGGCTACAACGAAAATGGAAACGTGAACTATAAATCGTCTTCCCGTTTCCATCATCACAGCTACCAAAAACAGCATAGTGATAACCTCTTAGTCAATGGTCAAATAGATAAAACAAATGGTACTGATGTCTATCGAATTCAAACTTTCCCTAGACATCCTTCGAGACGTGTTACCCTTTTGTACGATGAACAGCTGACAATTAATGAAGTCGATGTAAATGATCAAATTAAATTGCCATGCAGAAACGGTAAGTTTTTCTACTTAAATGTTTATGAGTAGTACATTTACTTTGTTGTTTTTTGGTGGACATGAAGAAAAAGCTGTTAAGAGTGAGTCCTGGAAATGCATTTTGGCATGCTCTGCAGCTTGTTAGGGTTCTTTAACCTTTTTGTATTGGAAAGTTACAGAGAGTTCAGCACATTCAATGTTAGTGCGTTTCGATTCACTTAATATGCTGAAATTTTGTTCATCACTTCCCAAATTCAGTCACTTTCAAAACAGACGTATGAATGATGTCTGAAACTGCAGTTGCTTGGTCTATTATTGAAAACTTGTCATTGAATTTTAAAGTGATATTATCTCCCTTCATTAAATTATTTTCAAACAGTAAATTATCAACCAGGAGTTGTCACTTTCAGATGTATAGTTGTGTGAAGATAGAGCAGGACATAACTCACTGAACTTTTCAATGAAAAAGTTAGGTAATATTTTAAAAACAGTAATGCATTCAACATAACTATAATTAAAAAGTGCCTAACTTATTCACTGGTCTAGAATATGAATGAAATAATTTTTCTCTAAGGTAGTAGGTTGAAGTGCAGTTATGAATAATCAGCCAACTCATAGAATGCATCAAACAAAGTGATTTTAAAGAACAGAACAGGCCAATTACCTCAAGGAAAGCAATAACAATAATAATAACCATTACATTTTTTCAGTTATTTCTGTAGTACACTCTTCATACATTTAGTTCTCTTTACGAATTTGAATAAAGCGATAAGAAAATCAGATTTCGGTGCCTTCTCTTCAGAAGATGAAATGCATAATCTATTAGATGTCGTCATGAGGTGAACTTGAAGTTTGTAAGGTTTGAATAAAACAGTTGATTATTGGAACGCTAGATACAGAATCAGGACGAAAGTTACGGAAACTGAGTGATAACCAGTCAGAAGATAGCCATGAACATTGATTAAAATAGCGAACTGGTAAAATTGATAATTACTTCTATGTGAAGTAAATGCTGACGAAGCTGCCTAGCCTGGATTTGAAGCGTCCAAGAACAAATCTCAAAGCTTGGAAAACATCAGACTATTACCATCCTAATCCTGGGCTACATACCTTTTGTACTATCTGCTCAGATAAAAATTGATTAAGAAGTAACGAGTTGTAGTCATTACTTAGAATAGAAAAGGTGGGTAAAGGTAAGGTTATAAGTTTTTTTAGTTTATTCAAGGACGTTTTGGGTTAATTACTGAGTCTCTCTGAATGTGAAGAACAAGCTCTATTCTCTTATTTGAGATAGCTTCTGAGAAGTGAAGCAATTAAACTAACAAGAAGACTGGTTATCATTTGACTATCTGGAATAGCCGTAATTCGGTAGACTAGTATTTGTACTGGGTGATGATTGAAGTTGAGATGAAAATCTGGACCGCGACCGGATTCGAACCAGCGACCACCGGGTTACCGGCCTGGTGCCCTACCAACTGATCTACGAGGTCCGACTGCTAACTAGAATTTTATTTCACTGGTATTTGTTTCGCCATTCAAAATAGATCAAATAATAATGAAATTTAATCAACAATTGAAAGCCTCACTCAGCAACAAATTTTCTGCGGTAAAACTATTCCCACTACTTCAAGTTTCGAACAGTGCAGACTGAAATTGGTAAGCACGCATCTCGTTTTGCCGCAAACAACGTTTAACAATCCACTTGTACTTACCAAAGTAGGTACAGTGATCGGACTCAGAGACGGGCGGTTATTTGTTTTTTCTAATATATTCTGTGCAACTCTGTAGCTAAAGGAGCAAACTGCATCAACAGCTCAAATGCTCTTCGTTTGCTTATCATGAGACGATCCTGACAGTAAACAGGCCTTCCAGATCAATGATAAACGGTTTAATTCTGCCAAATCATCTCATTCGATAAATAACGCCCATTAAGGCGAGCTTCACCTACAGACTCTGAGGATTATTTGAATGCTATCTTTTCAACATTACACTAATTACTTAAGATATCATGGTTTTCAGATTCATTTAACCCTACAGTATTGCGATAATTGTTTGGCTGGTCTAAAAATGCTATTTAAAGATACAGTGTTGCGAAAATCGTTAACATCACTTGCGACCTTTGCACTCCTCCGTATATCCGAGAAGAATACAAAGAATAGCTGTGTATGTTTTGTAAGGAATTAACCATCTGAATACAAGTACGTCTGAAACCACTTTGAGTCTCATCAGTGTAATATTTGCGTGTCAAATTGTAGATATGGACATAATATGGAGTATGTGAATATGGGTAATCACTTTGTGAAAATTAGACCAAATTTTGTCCATTGAATAATACCACCCAAACATTTGGGGTGATGAAACACTTGAGTTTATTGATTCTGAGACTTGAAACAGATGGGTTGTTAAATATCCGAATATTGGAGTCGAACACAGTTGGTTCTAAATGGAACTGAGTGCTCTTCAATTATCTGTTCCTCGTTTCCGTATACGCCAATTCGATCATAAAAGATAAAAGTTATTGATCTCATTGCAGAGACAGTTATCTCTCACTTCAGTGGTTTCTGAGCGTAGCATCGCGTACTAGGCTTGTAAATCATCAGAAACCAGGTACAACTGGACGGACTAGGTAGTGAACCACAGCTATTTTGTGAAGATGAATGATACCAGCTGGTTGATCAAGTGTCCGTATATGGAGCAGGTTAAATATTTTCGACCCGTCAGTTGAAATTTGTCCGCGCAGACCGATGAGCCACAACCCCAGACAGCTGAGTTGAAATTCAAGTCTGGTTTCATCTTATTCATATGTTACATGTATTTGAGTGCATATTTTAAGTGTTACTTTGGAACCACTAGGTAAACAGTTTTCCCTTAAAATTATTTACCCTGTTATTTGTACCATTAAAGCAAATTAACTGCTTTTTATCATGCCAGCTAATTAGGTTATATATTGCGCTCCTTAACATTAACTTAGTTTTGCAAACTAAAAGCCAGTCTTTGTTTCTAATTTCGACACATTTTTTTGTTGGTTTTAACATGGTAACCCAATTTAACATCAAACTTTGTTTCATATAAATCTGGATCACGTTCTCTTTAAATTTAGAGAGAGTCTATGAAGAACATGTAACTGAGAATAACTTAGGACAGTGTAACAGAGACGCAAATGCTTGTGAACATAAGAAACTGCTCCCGACTACCTTTACTGTCACTGAACCAGTTGAAGAAGTAACACCGATTGAAAATCATCCAATTCCAAGTCATGACTGCACACATAATGAAAGTGTTACCTGCTTTTGTGGTAATGAAGAAGAATCTATAGAATCAGATCAGAAATATAAGTTAGACATGGAAACTCAGTTGGATTCAAGTATTGATATAACTACGGAGACGTCACAAAAACCGTATGATATCTCAAATGAAAATGGTCACATAGTAGAAGAAAACGAAGCAAGCGAAGAAGAAACGAATTTCAGTGACTGTGACATCGTAAAAAGTGAGACCATTAGGTATAGTTGTGTTCTCTTTTGTTTTCGAAACAGTCTAGCCTTGTCGTAATGAGTATATTCTGATGAAAATCGAACTATTACGTGTATTTTTAATGCTGTCCTGAATCGAAACTTCATCTACTGGCAGCTTACACCAGCTGATACTCAATCTGTGAACACCGCGATGCAAACAGACCAGTTGCTGGAAAGTAGTCTTTATGTCATGTTCAAGTTAATGACCTACTAACTGACGAAACCAACTCAGACCCTCGCATACAGACGCATCGGCTTAAGTTGCCACACTTCACAGTAGTATACAAAGAACATGTGGATAGAAAAAGAGTGAAATCGAAGAAGAAAAAGTTTTGTGAGAAAATAAACAATTTGAAGACAAGGTTTAGTGCAAGTATTCAAGCTTTAGAAGACTTCAAGGAGTGAATATATCTGCACCATTGTGACCGTAGTTGCAATGTAGCCACTAAACCAAACTACCCAGTGATGCAGTACACTTCATTTTGGTGTGAGGTGTTATGAATATGTTGAAAGGAAACTCTGCTTTTCAGATGGTTCATACTTGTTAATACTTCTCAGCAAGCAGTATCTACAACTTTGACGAAACTCATGTCCCCTTAGGGGTTTGTGTTTTAGCTTTTAGTCTTTGCAGATAGGAAATTTACAACTGAGTTATTCTTTTTTAAGGCAGACTGATAACTATCTAGTAATGTATTATCACAAGCGTAATTTCGTGTATCGATAATCATAGTCCAATCAAAATGATATACTGAAATCTCACAAAGTAGTCTGTTAGTTAGATTTCCATTCGCATACGGAAAATAATTTAACATAATGGAAGTACGTCTAAGGTGTATTATTATTATTATTTATTAGAACGCAAACGTGGTACAGCAAGGGCACCGAGAAATACGCCACACAAAATAATGTAACATTGTTTTGAAGACGAGGGGAAGTAAATAAAACGAAAAACACGTAGGAATAGGATGTTTAGAAGGGCAGTCTAGTAAGATGTATTCAAAACAAAACATTCATCACTTTTCAGCAGCAGAAGATAGAAGGAATCCATAATGTGACCACCACTGGTTTCGATTCTGAGCTATATCTGATAAAGTCTCAAGTCAGTGAGTTGCGTAATCTCTCGGAGCCCACTCATGGAGCCGTGGTGTACCAACAGATGCTAGCCCAACACAACTATCCTTCGTCCAACGGCATCACGTCATACATTGACCACCCCTGTACTTCTTTCATCCAGTCCCGGGGTTAGCAAACAATGAGCGGTATGGAGGCCGTTAGAACGACATGCGTAACACATGTCCAGGCCACCGAAATCGGTGTCGCCAGATGGCTTCATTCATTGAATGACGATTTCCATCATGCCCAAACACACGTTCTCGTACCTTAGAATTACTTACATCGTGTTGCCAGCGGATATGAGCAATCCCATAGAGAAAATGATGCTCGTCGCACATCCTCAATGGGAGAGGTCAGGTTTCACAGGCTTAGAGCAGAACTGCTTGCACTCAAGCGTTGTGAATTCAACCTTTAACGGTCAGACTAACGTCTCGATGGCGCCAAAGCTGACCCAGATTGACATATGCCACTCTGGCTTTCGATACGCAGCTAGAAATTTTATCACATACCGCCACCAGCACTCGTAAAACCATCCAGATACACGAACGTTCTGACTACTTCCAACAGCTCACAACCAAGGGTGAGCGAAGGCAGAGTCTGCTGCCAATCCTGAAAAAGTTCTTTGCACTTAGATGGTACAAAGCACATACCATACCTACTGGCACTAATAACCAATTGATTAAGCGCGATTTGAGCAGCTTGTGTGTTATCGCATAGTAAGATTATATCGCCCGCATATTCAAGGTCGAACATATGATCAATGCATCCACGACGTGAAAGAAACCCGGTTTGCTCCTCGGAAATCATTTCCTCACGTGTTTTGCAAAGTCTGCGAAGTATGGTAGCAGCCAATATTTTGGACGCGACTGGTAACATACTAATACCCCAATGATTGTCAACTACATTACGTAGCCCCTTTTTAAAGATGGGCACAATGATGGCTCCATTCCAGGGTGATGGGACAATCTCTATCTCCCATACCTTTCTAAACAATCGAATCAGTTGGCTGACTAGAATCGTTCTTCCACCCCTAAACAGAGTTGAGGGTAAGTTGTCTGTGCCGAGTGCCCTGCGGCGTTTTAGAACTCGGAGTTCGTTATATACCTCCGCTTCGTTAGGTGAGTAGGTGTTTATTGATCACATAGGACGTTACACTAAAAGTGAAAATGCTGGGGTCGCCGGCCAGCTTAACTACTTTTCGCAGTGCTCCGCCCAGTGTTCCAGGTGTCTTTGGAGATTGTTTATTGGCGCACCATCTGTCTGCCAAGCCGTCTCACTGACACCAGGCTTTTTGCTGCTACTGAGTCGGATGAGCTGAAACAGCTTCCGACTATTACCAGATACAGCTGCTGCTTCCATCTCACTTGCCCGTTTTGACCACCAAGCCTCACGCTTCTTGCGTAAGCGTTGTGTAGCAAATTATTATACTCACTACCAACCGTAATCATCTGATGGGCGCCAAGAAGTTGCAGGGAGCTCACAGAGACCTAGTGTTTATTAATGGGAGCCGCAAGTGACTTTACTCGCCATTTTCATGACGTCTTGCAGGTTCAACCAACGCTCGTCTACACTTTCTGAAGGATTGGTAGCTATCCTTAAATCTAACTTGGATTATTACTGAACTGTAGTGTTAGGTGCAACTTACATGCTTGCACTGATTTGTTTAGGACGACGATTTGGATGACCATCAAAACGCAAGATGCATTTAGCATACACTAAAGCATGGTCCGAGTCCAAACTAGTATTTCCACATGGAGTGGAGTCCTGTATGCACCCACGCCATCGGTAGCTGATTGCCATATGATTTATTTGAGTCCAGGCTTGAATATCAGAGGAGGGAAGCCAAGTAGCACAACAGCAATGACCGTGTCGGAAGTTGGTACTTCATCAAATCAGGTTGTGATCTGCGCAAAGCTGAAGAACACGATCCCCATTATTCGACCTGGAGCCAACTACTCCTCATTGGCCACCTACACAACTCTCCTCTGAACCTGATCTGTGCATTCGAGTCCCCAGCTAGCACTGCGATACCTGTCGACCGCACTTTGTTGAGTAGGGTTCTCAGTTGATGATAGAATTCATCATCGGTTGCATTTGAGCTGCAGTCCATCGAAACATAGAGAGAGATGACAAAGAGATATCGTTTCTCTTACAGGTTGCTTCTTACTCGAGATGAACTTTCTAGCCTAACAGCACACAGGTGGCTGTTGATGGAGATCCATTCGATTAGTGCAGCTTCGGTTCGAGAGAGGCCGGTTGCCTATGTTACAGGGTCCCCGGGTAAGCGCATATGACAGATAGGGGACTTATTCGAAGCGCATAACTAGGATCTTGTATGGGAGTCTCTAAGATGCAGCATATATCAATAACGAGACTTTCCAGAGTTTTGGCCAAACCTGCTTGTTGTCCGATCCGCTTCAGTGTGCAAACGTTGACGGTGGCGAGCTAAAACGGTACGCGTGGCTTCAGCAGAGCTAAGTCAAATGCTGCAGTGGATAACAGCTTTATGAGGGAGACTGTTTAGCAATTCAAAACGGTGCAGACAGACTACCAGTCTAATCAATGAAGAGCAGCTGAGGGAAATGAAGATAACGAAAAAAGCGATGATGGCAATAATAAAAAAACTTAGTTCATATATAAAAACAACAAAAACAATATAATAGCAATAAATTGAACAATCGGTTATAGAGTTTGTACCATGGAGGGCCTGAGTATTCTCAAGAAAGTTGGTTCATTTCTCGGAAACCTTCATTTTGTACTCTAGATTCATATTTTGTATAAGGACTGGGATACTGCCTAGACGCCCAGACCGAAGCAGCTGGTGGTTTAAGGGGACCACCTGCCAGGGCTTTGACTTAAAGTCTAATCCACAAGTCAGTGAAGTAACATCAAGAGCTGCGTCCCCATGGTTGTCGGTGACCAAAGTAGGTTCATACGCTATTCGTTAGATCCGGAACCCGTGCGACCATTGGTTTGGAATCAGGGTTTTCCAACTTCCCTAGATGAACCCCCGGTATCCACTAATTCAGTCATAAGCACCAGACATTCTCTTACGCCCTTTTTCTTCAATAGAAACACCCCAGCTACGTGAAGGCAGTGAATATGACTTCTCTGGCAGAGGCTGTGAACGTATACCAGAGAATTTGGGCTCGTAAGTATAAAACATGATGAACAGCGCTGCCAGTTATAAGTTTGAGACTAAGAGTATATTATCTTCACTCTACTAGCTTATATCTTAAAGCCAAATCGCCTGAGATGTTGTACCAGTGACTTCTATCGCAGAGGTTTTATTTGACAATTCAAGGTGAACACCGTTTTATGGAAAACTACCTATTCGTTTCATTACTGTCATAAAAAGAAATTTTTAATACTCCTTCAGATTAACATAGGTGGACCATGTTTCATAGAACGATACAAAATGACATTCCGTGGTGTGCTCTTTCAATTATGCAAAACAGCTTATTTAGCCTTCTCTTTTAGTAAGTATTCCTAAATCGCTAACCGCTAACTGCTGGCATATAATTTCACGTTTAGCCAGCAAACAAAGTGGCGTACTATTAAAAGCAGAGTCTTTTGACTACTTGCAAACGCATCACAAATTGCCATTTCACATAAACGCTAATTCCTCTCAGTGTCCTGTCACCTTGTTTTCTCGGAATAACTTTCAACAGTAGTTTTTTATTCAATGTTTTTCATTTCCTTTGGATATTCACTTCTGACAGCTGTAGAGGGTTCGTTTTTCTCGACAAGTATGCAAAGCTACTTACAATTTGTAACTTTTATGCATCACATATTAAACCAAAGTAGTGTGCCTATTGTAAAGAATGAAGATACAGAACTCCTTCCTTTTAGATTTTCCAATATTGTGAACCTCGAAAAGTTCAGCATCAAGACGGTACAACTAACCAGCTTCATAAGTATTTCCTAGTAGGTCAGTAACTGACGCGCACCCCTCATCGAATATTTTTCCTCAACTACTTATTTTCATCACTTTTTTCCACTTTTTTTTTACAACGAGACTAACCGGTTGTAACGAAACCGATTTCGTTATCATTTCAACCATGAGGGCTTTTCCATGAATTTTGAGCGAACAATACTAATCTTTGCGTTCCAAAGGTGTTTGTCTTGGCGTGGGTAGATATAATGAATTACTTTGCGTTCAGGTGTTTTTGAAAATCCTTTTCTCTTCTCTTTTATGTTTGACTCTTTTCCAAACCCCTGCAATATTCATATTCAAACTTCATTTATTCACTAACTTTATCCTTCAGTATTGCATGACCTTATTGTCCTTACTGACCTACTTTGTCTACCTAAACGCCTTTTTACATTATTATTCCGTTCCCAGTACTTATCATCATTTGTACTGCAGCTATTTTTATAATTCTTAAGTGCATCTTTGTTATCATCGACTGCCAAATCAACTTGATTGGTTTACATTTTACGTAGTCGTATAAAGCCTATGTATATCAAAGTAGAGCATGAGGAGATCTAATTGAAAGCAATATTGTCTGCTTGCATATCGTACTAAGTTTTCTCAAAACGACTTACATACTGCTAGTTTTAATTACAGCGGGAAACTCTGTCATTAATTAATCTGGTAATTTTATCTTACATTTTTTTGTTTGCTTTTCTTTTTAATATAGTCATCCCAAAATGACTTGAGACCAATAGTGGTAATAATGATGGCGAAGATGATGATCTCTTGTAGCTGTAATCATTCTACAGAAAGAAGTATAAGTTATTCGATATTATGTTGTTGCTGCTGATATTGCATGCTTTCAAAAGGCGCATATGTTGCACATAATATCTTCATAACTTGGTGTCTGCATGTTGATAAGACTGCATATTGTCACTTTTCCTTCGTGGTCAGAAATTTATCATAATGACTGAATTATATTTGTTTTTGTTTCGAATAGAGGGAGCTATGCATTAAACTTATCTGTTAATAAAACCAAATTTACTTGTCGGTGAAGTTAAGGTTAGAAAGGTTAACTTCCTTTAGATTACATAATACAAGGTTGTTAATGTATTTCTTTATTTTTTCTATGACGTTTAATTCTAGTTGAACCTGTGGATGATCTTAAAGGCAAAGTGATCATTGTTCCCGAAGGCCCAATTGCTGGATCATTGAAGAATAAAATTGAAGCATTAAGTCGAGCCTCTCAAAAACAATCTGAACCAGTTTCTTCCCCTACTCCTGCTCCACCGGTTTCATCAACAATTCAAGCCTTAAAAGAAAAGCATTCATCTTTTGAAAAGGTCAGTTCTTTTCTACCTATCATGTATATGTATCCACCTATACAACTGGTCACTCTTACAGCTCATGGTAGATACATATGGTGACTTTTACTTCACGTGATTATGTTGACCATGATAATCTGGGATGAAATAACACCTACTTTAGGATTGAAAGATTGTAATTACTGATACGAGTAGAGGATTGAAGGTAAAATGAAAACCTGGTTTGTGATCGGATAAAATAGCCTCGTTGATTGAAATGAATCTAACAAATAAACACCAGCTGGGTTTCTTGGCTCAGTTGGTTATTTGTTATTTGTTACTGCTTCGGATTCTGCTGCAACCAGGGTTTTGATTTCCCCTTCAATAATCACCCTATAACAATAAAAAAGTTGATTCAATCTTAAAAGAAAGTTTAATCACAATTCGATCAACTCAATAGAAACACTTATCGAAACTCAAAATGTTTGCTTAGATTAACGGTGTAATGTCTGCCTACTTTATTCTTTACACAGATAACTTGAGAAATCATTGCTGTTTTATGGTTTATTGGTCTGGTGTTATGTAGTTAAAGAAAGTCGCCAAAACCTAGATTTACTGCTTGTTTGCAACGTGTATTTGAAATTTCGGGAAGACTAGTGATTGTAAAGATGGATAGTGGCTAGGAGTGGAATCCAGGATGCGCACTTCGTCCTATTTGGGACTCGTCAGCTGGATGTACCTGCCTCCAGTGAGTGATGTTGCTCCCACCGGGGTTTCGGACTCATGAGCGATCGCTTCAAACGTGAGAGCGTTATCCACTACACCACCGAGCCACAACAGCCACTTCTTGTGCGACGGGTATAGTTTTAGTATAATTGCTTGTAGTATCGAGGCATCCTCACAGGAGCCCATATACCAATAGAGACGGATCAATCGGGTCTAATCAACGACGGTATAATACTAAAACTAGTGATTCCCTAGAAATCCGAACGCACGCTATTTAATCTGGCAATTACAGATGCTACTAGTGGCTTATTCAAGCTGTTATTGGTCACTTGTACAACTAGACAGGTAACATTATTGATTTTCTCAGAGTAACCAATGTCACGCTGTTCTTCATCGAAACTTATATTACTGATTTCTATAAGGAATTCGCTCAGTAAAATTTAGTAAATCATTAAGAACAATTAAACATGACAATCGCTTACTCTTCAGCAACTAGTCACTTATAAGCCTGATGTTCGATTTCCAGTCGAAAAGCTGGCTTTATGTCATGTACTTCTTCATACCCGTGTTGTACTAGCTTCGTGTTTTAACTGAGTTACCAGTCAGATGTTCAACACTTTTCTGTAAATGATGTCAAGTTACTCTAGTCTTAATGTAACAAAATGTATCCATAATAATGAATATAATCTCCGGTCTACTGATCTTTTCAAAATATATCCAGGATATTTGCACTCTATTAAATAGGTAGGTAGACTCATATATTTGTAGTGAGATTTATTTTTATCCTTGATTAGCTGTTAAATGAGTGACTGAAATGGTCGCCCTAGCAACCATTTAAATGGCTGAATAGATCTTTATTTTGGCTGTTTCAGCATTTGTCAAGGTGATCATTAGAGTTATTACTGTTAATTGCCAGCCTTCTTACGTATATTAACAAGTCAGTAATTAGTCATTCAGTGTGGACTTTGGAAACAGCAATATCCTAAGAGTAGTCACTCGGTGAACTCATGCTCTAAGTACACGTAACCCAGTCACATCACACTATAACCATTTTGTATGCTAAACAATAATTAAACTATCATATCCCAACAATTTTATTCACAAAGATCAGGTAATATATTCAAATAACCATCGAATAAACAAGTTCGGAAAACTAATTGTCATGAAAAACAATTAGATATTTTTAGGAAAAGAACAATAACATTTTTGAGTACACTTTTCACTGTAGTTGCTGCTTGTCAGCTGGAGAAACGTCATTTAAGGTTTCGGAGTATTCACTGATGCATAGATTAACAGTCATATTTTCAAGATGTATTTTATTTATTAAGCCTCCAGATAATGAAGACATTTTTGTTGAACACGTAAAATATAGTTACTTTGGCATACTGTAACAACGAATAACTAAAGTTATGACATACTATAAGCAGAACATTGATAGATTCACCTTCTGTGTACTTGCACGTCGCTTTAACCTCACTCTGTTTTCACAAAAAAACTTAAGGAGAACGCCCCATTTCAGTCATATTATTTTGAAACCCGTTGGGTAGGAATTCACAGTGATATCGTTAGGAGGATGCATTTGCGTAATACTTCATAATTAATTGTCTCAAAATTGAAACCATACTGTCTAATGATTCCATTAAAGTAATTTGATTTCCGATCACCCTTTTTACCGACTTAAGTGTGATAGGCATAGAACCTCGCACAAAAGTGCATCAGCTCAAGTTAACAGAGTTCGCAATAGGGTGCGAAGAAGAAATGAATAGAATGAGGATGAAACTGAATTAGACAAAAATTTATAAGGGAGGTGACTAATCAGTGAGTGTTAGAGAAAACGCTTCAGATTTTGCTGATAAATAGTAAATCCATGTATGCCATAGTGGTTGACTTCAAGCTCTATCAACAAGAGTCTTCAACTAATGATATCTGCTCGAAGATCAAATCAGGCAACTTGTAATCACCCATAAAGCTCAGACCATGAGTTGGAAATCCTATGCACTGGTGCCACATCTTGATCTAGTTGTCCTCATCTTTTTCTAACTCATTCCTGTTTTGTCTAAAATCGTTCATCGAGACAGATGATGGCTCGGTAGAGGCTCACAACCATATCGACTAATTCGCCTGCCTTGTCTAGTACTCGTCATCTAGCCTCGACACTGCTCACGTGAAAAATGTAAAGAACCATTCTATCTCGGAAATAATGTTGTTTTTTTTCAATCCCAAATACCTATGGACTAATTTCATTGGAGATGTAGAACAAAAGATTTCACCAAAAATATGTGAAATTACAGATGGATGACTGTTTACTCTGGTTCGGTCATTACGACTGGTCATAAGTCATCTTCGCTGGAATGATATTTCTGAATGTAGATTTTTGCATCTTACAGTAGAACTATTTTTTCAGTCATCCCAGAATCCATAAGTATTCCAGTGAAGGTATTATTCAATGAGTTCCTAAAATCTTCGCATTTCTTTGTTTCAGATGCAAATAACTGAAGGCTATCACCAGACATGCGTTCCTCTAAGTTTCAGTAATTTCATCTTGTTTTTTTCAGAAACTTTACCACTGGTCAGATTATACATATAATTACATTGGTTTTATCTATGTGAACCAATAGTGTCATTGATTCATCACTTTTTGAGCCTCCAACTAAAGCCAGAGGCAATTCGCTCTCAAAACCTCTCTACACTTTGTAATTTTGGAAGGGGAGAGAATATTCTAAAGTTTTAATTAAAACATACAGTCAACCATTGTTAAGTATCTATATCCACGTTATCTAAGTGTGCTGTGGCAACATAGATTGATTCACATAAATACTGCTCATCTCAAGAATCCCTCAGAGTGCAAACTATGTATTTTGAAACGAGTGTACATTAAAGCTTAAATAAGATAATTCAGTAAATCATATCTGTAAAAGTGGGAAGTTTCGCTTCCAGTTATATTTTTTAATATATACTGTTTTTATTTTGTTGTCGTTAATCTAAACGAAATATCATCTTATTTCATGCAGGTAGAAGAATCTCCGAAGCCTCCACCACCACGTGAACGAACGGGTAAAATTCTGTCGGTTAAGGATCGTTTTGAATCAGGTATAGCATCAAAGCCACCAAGCGCTCCTGGCCTTTCGGTACCTGCTAAGAAGGTGAATAACCACTTTATTTTTCAGTACCAGTATCACTATTTTTTCTGCAACAACAACGTCCTTTAAAAAGCTCAGTCATTAAGTCACTTTATCCGATATATATATATATATATATATATATATATATATATATATATATATGCATATGTATGCATCAAATTCGGGGGTGGGCTGAGATGTGAAACTCAACTGCTAACTAGCTTTTGATCTTTTTGTCGGTAGAGGCCTTGGTCAATAACTTCCAGGCCAGTGGTTCAAATTCTACTGTCCACTTAGATTCATCTTTCAAATTCAAACACAATCAATAAAAATATTTTTCGAAAGTATGAGGTCTACAACCTTTTCATCCGTTTTCAAGAATTTGAAAATTACTCACTTAGACCTCATCTTATGAAAAACCATGAGTACAGTAGTCACCTGGTTACAATACCGCTTTTCACTGTGAGTTGTAGTGGCCACTTTTACAGGAAAAAAATTGCTGTCAACTGGTTGGAAACGATCTAAACGTAGTCCTTCAACTAGATTTCACATGTGTTGGTACTAGTCATTAAGGCCTACATGCAACCTGAAGGAAACTGATGACTTCAGAAATCAGATACCTCATCATCCTATGGTGCATAGGATGTTGCACATAGGTTACCACTAAGGCGTTAGTTACTCATTGGTATAGATCC